ACTTTTGGTTTTTGGTCTGTTTATGTTTTATAATGGTGTCTTGCAAGCCCTTGTGGGCTGAGCATGCTAATGCATGACACAATAATAATAAAAAAAAAAAAAATGTAGTAATAATAATAGTAATAAATATAAGAGCAATTAAAGCTGCAAGCAGTGTTGGACGGGACCTCGCACTCCACGCAATTCGGGGCGTGCTGCAGCGGCGTCACGTGCTGTCGTAACACGTGCGGACCACAACATGATAATTTCACTTAAATCAGCTCAAATTCGCCACGCAGCACTTACTTCCTGTTGCCAGTAGGTGCCGCTATCACTATGTCTTAATATTGTCATGTAGTCCTGTTCAGGGCGGGAATCTTATCAAACACGTGAAGCTTCATTGGGATTGGACCATGTACGCTGAAGTTATGAGGACGTGTTCAGGCCGAGACTGTTACAGAATATATGAAGTTTATTGGAGATTGGACATTGCACACTGAAGTTATGAGTACTGTTTTATGGCGAATCGGCTGAATTTGACAAGTTGTCACTGGCACGCGGTTTGAGGTACTGGCACGAGGTTTGACGTACAGTCACAAATAGCACAACCTTTCATCTACAGTTTGTTTTGATTGTACTGTCCAATTTTGAAGTAGATTTGATAAGTCCCCTATTTATCTTGCAATTTAATACTTGACTTCCAGCGGTTTCCTACAATACTGCAGGAACAATACTCCGTAGGAAATATAAATAACATTGCCAAAAGGAAGCATATATAAGGTGAATAGAATTGGTCCAAGCACAGAACCTTGTGGAACTCCATGACTAACTTTAATGTATACAATGAGGATATATGTAAAACAAAGCGGGGAGCTGCTGATTGGGTAGAACATGAGATAAGCTGAATTCAGTGTGTTAACTTTCATACATGTTACTAAGGCAGTGATGTGAGTAAGGTGGGGTCCAACAAGACACAGTGTTCTGATTATGTTCGGGCGATGATGCTTCTCATCATAGTGAGTATAATCTCAGTCAGATATGGGTTCCAATGCTGAAGGACATTGTGGGACACATTAATCTAACTGTGACTCCATCTGAGTTTTCATTGTTTTGTTATTTAAAAATGCTCTGTGGGCTACAGACAAACTTACTGCCACTATAGTGGCTGTGGATCATGTGTTGTGTCTTTCTCTGGCAAAACAAGTTTCTTTTAATTCTCTACTTTGCTGAAACTGCAGCAGACAAGAGGCTTTAAAGTGAAAGTTCACCCCAGAATCAAAAATACATAATTTGAAATTATGACCTGGTAACTCAACAGACCTTGTTGTGAGCACTTTTTATGTAAGAACTATTTTCTTTCTATGTATCACTGTGCAGAAGGAAGAGTTGTGTAAAAATCAATGGTGTCCTCCTCAGCAGAGTAACATTAGCTAGCTCACCTACCATGGAGATAGCTAACGGTCAGCTATGATTGGCGGGTGGGAGCCCTTAAAAAATGCCAGGCCACCCCAGCTGTCACCCCAGTTTGGTGTCAAATGTTGTCAAATTTAACACATTAGTTTAGATTAATTAAAAGAATTCTTAAAAACAGAAATGAGAACATTATCTAATAATTTTAATATAATTTAGTGATCTGTTAAGGCCACATCTTAGACTCAAAATAAGTTAAGTTCAATAAATAAATACATGTCTACAGGTAGATTTGGAAATAAAAAAATGTATTGATTTCAAATGCCACCTTCTATATATTTCTATTCAATGCTTTATTAATGTGCCACAATGATGTTTTTGAGTTCAAATTCATTTGGGGGCTTTTTTAAGCAAATATTAATATATGTGACTAAATCAGCTAATATTTCTGCCATCCCTTAAAGTCTCCATGCCACCCTTTGGACGCCCCATGAATATTTCTCTATATCTGCCCCTGTTCAGTAAATATAATAGTTTCTACATGAAACTGCTCACATCAATGTCTGTGGATTATCTTGAATAACAGGGTCATGATGTTATAAGGAGTTCGGTCTACACCTGCTCTATTTGGAAAGTGTCCTGAGATAACTTCTGTTATGAATTGGCACTATACAAATAAAACTGAATTGAATTGAATTGAAAATGATTTATGGAAAGAGGCTAACATCTCCAAAACTCAGCAACAGAACAGATGGATAAATAGCTCTACAGGTAATATATGTATTTTGATTTGGGGGTGATTTGTCCCTTCAAGTTTGTAATGCAAGTAATGTAATAATTTAACTGTAATTAAGCACAGTATAATTGCAGCACTTGAACAAACACTCTGTAGCATCAAAACAGAATTATTAACAGTCATGTTATAGACAACTAATGGAAAGATCAAAACATTTTTAACTTTGATTATTGGGTATAACTACAGTATATAAATGAAAACATCCAATGACAGAGATATAGTACACAATGTCATGTGTATGTTTAACCTGTCACATAGCATTACCTACAGTACGTCTAATGATTTAAAATCTAAAAATGTGCCTAATAAATCAGTACTACGTGTATTGAAATTTAGTGGACAGAAGCTGAAATGGGAGATTTGGTGAATTAATCAACCTTAGCAGATTCACCAGCCACCACCACTGGACTCCAAGGGGTGATTTATCAACTGCTTAGGGTGGATGCCCCTCAAACACAAAAATCTAAGGCTTTCTGTCTTAATAATGACTAAATCAACACCATTACCATTTAGCATTGTTAAGTAAAGTAACTGAACAAATAGTATTTAAGTGAAGTGCAAGTGGTGGATTACTTTCTGACAATAACTTACTTAATGGCTGTCAGCATGCATACAGAGAAGGCCATTCAGCAAGTTACAGCCTTGTGGTTTCACTTCTAATGCAATCTCATGGTTATCTCTTAGGAAGAAAACAGAAAGTATTCCTTAATGGCAGCTATTCAAAAAGGTCTCTTTACGCTACATCGGAGTGTCATTAGTAACAAGAACCTGTCCAGTATGGCTCATCAGATACATATGGCCTCTGTGCATGATTATTAGGAGGTGCAGCCTCTGGTCACATAGCAGTCCCAGCTCTAAAAACGAATATTGTTGGAATTCTCTGCCCATAGATGGAACATCTACTGTTAATAGCAAAACAACTTTCAGAAAGCATATAAAGAAATATCTCACCATAGAACAGGCTAAGAACATACCCCTATATGTATACTGCTGTTTTTCTTTTCTTCTCCTTCTATTTTAATGTGTTAAGTGATTATCAATCAATATCAATATTTTATTTCCAGTTGTTTGTATTTTCTTATTATATGTTTGTACTGTATCTTTGATTTTCAGGACCCCAGGAAAACTAGACAAAATTAAATAATCATAAACAATCATATATCATGTTATAATAAACAATTATCATTATTTCATTCACTTGTCTCTCCTGAAAATAATATCAGTTTAGTGAATTGAAAGCTGTGTTGAAATGTTGTTATTCAGCCCTGCTAGCTCTTACTCTCTTGGCCCTCAACTCTCTCTCCGTCATACTTTACTTTTATAGACTGTGGAAGCAGCTCAGTGAAAAAAGAGTTTTTTTGGTAAGGAGAAGAATATGGGCTGGCTCAGCATCATCCTCCTACCTACATAAGGAAGAACTCCTACTGTAATGTTATCTGCCCTCAGCTGGACACTGGCAGTAAATCTAAATTAACTAGCAGCTCTCTGGGGGTCACCCAGGGGCTAGCGCTCCTTTTGATTAATTAAAGACCGGGGAAGAGCATGGAGGGGTGTGTGGGGTAAGAAAAGACAAGGAGAGAGAGGCCGAGAGGTGTACGGAATGGACGGAAGGTGGAACAGTGAGGGAAGAGTGTCTGAGAGAGGAAGTAACTGCTGCGTTATCAGGGGAGGAGAGCTGGAGGTAGATGTGGTATGACCTGTGGTTCAAAGGCCTGACGGCCTTCTCCCACACACAGACACACACACACACACACAAACATGCATGAATACACAACTGCAGTTTTACAATTGCAGAGGAGCAGCTGAAGACATTGCGTGTGCAATAAAGCTTCATACAGACATATACAACACTGAGTATTGACACCTAAACACACAATCCAAAGTTAACTGACTTGTATGATTTTATATCTCCTAGACAATATGATATTTCAGTTATTATTTTCAAATGTATGTGGTTTTACTTTTTGCTGTATCTCGTGTCCGTTCTTAAAGCTGGGGAAGGCAGGTTATTTTTTGGTGTCACTGGGCCAAAATCCCATTATAACCTTTCAACATGTTAAGTCATGTTATGTGAACTCGCCCCTCTGACCTTTTGGCTCTGTTTTTAGCTTTTAGTCTAATAACCTCTGAAGCCTGGGGCGCTCAGCCCAGGGGCCACAGACCACTGGAGGGGCGTCTTTGAGAAGAAGAGTCGTGGCTAGAGGAACAGGGATTTTGGCGAGGAATGAGGAGGAGAGAGGGCTCAATGAGGAATGAGGGTTCACAGGGCAACCAAACTGACTCTGCTGCGATCTAGACTTGTGGGTTTGGTGGGTGGGGCTTTCTAGGCAGCGGAGAGAGAGGCTGAAGGTTTTCCCTGCAGTTTTAAAGGGGACCTATTATGCTCATTTCCAGCTCTACATATAGTCTAGTTTTGTATGATTCACTCTTCAAAAAAAAAATCCTTATTTATCTTGTACCAGCCCTTCACGCTGCCCCTCGGTTCATCCTCTGTCTAAAACTTTCTCAAGTAGGAAGACTCAAATCAAAACAATTATAAGGATTATGATGTTAGTTCATATACAATAACACTATGTGAATGTGAAAAAATTAGGTTCCTCTGGCTCCTCCTTGAGCTCCTAATTGCCACCGGGCCTGACAAAAGCAAACAATCTCAACTCATTTACTACTGTCAGGATATAGTCAACGTTTTAGCCAATATCTAAGAATTTACGGTAAACAACGTTTATTACTGGCAAATGGATATGTTCAGTTCACCAAAAATGATGCCCTTTTTTAGCGCTTTCATGCACAGCTATTACTTGTCTTTGTTTACCTGGAAGGCATTGAGAGCGATGAAGACATAGGTGACTACGACAGACAGATGGACCAGTACTCCACACAGCCAGGTCAGACCCAGCACTGGCAGCAGGATAAGAACTGGGCGGGTCACAGCCCTGCAAACACACACAAAATGCACATATATGAGTCATAAATGCAGTATGCACTTGAATTACACATACATATTCACAAATACACATGCACAAAAATGACGAGGTCTAACAGAAACAAAACTTCACACTATGTTGTTGTGCCACTGATTCCTAAGTATACCTTCTCTTTGTCAACCATTTTAGAAAACATGAGTATAGACCCACAGACGGAGCCAGCAGAGTGGAGTTTTCAAGGTATTTTGATGACATTTTCTTCTCAAATATTTCCTCCTTGAATCCCCATCAAACATCTCTACACAGCTATACGCCTACCACAGTCATACTCCTGTTCCTTTCAATGATCCTCATGCTTATGCGGCCATTTCATGGGGCAAGGCGGAAAAGGTCTCCTTTGTTCAAACCACTATTGTTGTCACACTGCTGCACCTGGGTAGAGAGATTAAGTTTTCAGACTGCACTGTGTTTGCAAGGACAAAGCCAGCACCCACTTCCCTCTCTTCCCTTTTATTTTTGAAAGTCGTTTTCCCTCTATCTCCTGAATTCATGTAACACTCTAAAAACTGGCACAGACATCTACTTTCAGTCGTTTGTAAGGCAATGAAGAGACCCAGCGAGAGGAGTAATAGTGCTGTAGCATTTGCATCAGGCTAAAACAAATGTACGAAAAAAAAACCTGGACAGAAGTGAGCTGCTGCATGCTGGGTTGAAGGACTTTTTACTTGAATATGAAAAGAGAACCAAGTCTCTCCTCAGCCGTAAGACATATTCTAATTCGAGTGTACTGAATTGTCTGAAAAAGCACCTTGTCTGAAAATGCATACAAATGCCTTATAAGCCATTTACATATAATCATCAGTTCTATTCTACAATATGAGGAAGATTTAGATTCCACCCAAATATAGTGGAGGTGAATAGTGTTTTATTTATGGTGTCCACGTTAAAAAATTACAAAAAAAAAAATTCAAAATGTTTCTCTTTTCTGACTAATTAAAGTCCTGCCCCTGTTAGCTCTGTGCTCAAATGACAGTTGACCAAACCTCGGGCAGAACTTTAGTCAACTTTCTCCTTTCCTGTCATCAACATATAAAAGATAGACGTTGCATCTCACTTCCTCCCACTGGCTCAGCTGTCAATCATGACATGGAACCCCCTTTTTATAGCTTCAAATGACTAATTAAAACCAAATTTATTAGAAAGATTAATGCTTGAATATACATCGGTGTGATAAAAAATACCTAAAATGACAGAAACTATCTCTTGAAAAATATATGAAGTGTAATTTGATTTTTTAATTTGGCCCATGTCCAATCTGTTAACATGGAGGCAGCGGCCTTTATGACCTAGTCCCAGTCAGCCACCAGGGGGCGATATAAATGTTTTGGCTTCACTTTTAGAGTGCTGTCATGTCTTTGTTTCCTTTACTTAGATATGCTATGCTAGGCTTGTCTACATATTATGAATACACGATCAGCCATAAGATTGTGAGCACTGACGAGTGAAGTGAATAACACTGATTATCTGGTTATCATGGCTCCTGTCAGTGGGTGGGATATATCAGACAACAACTGAACATTTTGTCCTCAGAGTTGATGTGTTAGAAGCAGGAAAAATGGGCAGCGTGAGGATTTGAGAGACTTTAACAGGGGCCACATTGTGATGGCTAGACGACTGGGTCAGAGCATCTCCAAACCTGCAGCTCTCGTGGGGTGTTCCCGGTCTGCAGAGGTCAGTACCTATCAAAAGAGCTCCAAGGAAGGAAAAGAACCAGAGACAGGGTCATGGGGGGCCAAGGCTCATTGATGCACGTGGGGAGTGAAGGCTGGCCCGTGTGGTCCGATCCAACAGACGAGCTACTGTAGCTCAAACTGCTGAAACAGTTAATGCTGGTTCTGACAGAAAGGGGTCAGAACACACAGTGCAGAGCAGTCTGTTGCATATCGGTTTACTGTTAAAAGACAAAAGCGACATACAGTATATATATAGTCACATTTCAGGTTAGCTTATGTCGGCAAAACATAGCTAGCGTTTTGCTAACATTAGCTTTCAAATGTACAAGTGATTGATGTAGATTAGCTAGCTAATAAGGTTGGGTTGATAATTGATATATAAATATATATTATGATTTTCAACATAGACAAGCACACTTTTTTTCCAGGGTGACAAAGTCAGGACCCGCCCTACTATGCCTTGATTGGCTAGTACTTGTTTGGTTGGTTAGGTTTGGGCATTAGGAGTGATAAGGATAAGTACACCAGGGTAAGCCAATCAGAGGCAGAGTAGGGCAGGTCATGACTTTGCCATCCTGGGAAAAAAATATTGCATACAGAAAGGACAAAGTTGATTGTGGTTGTGACTGAGGCTTGCTCAACTGTCATTGGAACACAGAGCTAAAAGGAGCGGGACTAGGAAGGATAATTTCTACTACTGACTTATACTTCACCACCTCTCAACAGTTCTCGTGTAGACTATTCATTTGATAGAAAGTAGCTCCAAAGAAAACTGCTAAAAACTAGGTCTATGATTGTCATTTGTAATAAATTTAATTTAAATAAATACAAATGTAAAGAGCCTTTAATTATATATAATATAATGTGTTATATATGTTCTGCCAGAAATGCATCACTTGCATGTGTATGTCAGCAGCACCCCAGGCAGCATCTGTGGTTATACTGCTAGAAATCTTCCTTTGCATACGTAACTATACTATAGCAGAATATCTAGAAAGGTATCATGGAGTAACCATAGCAACATAAAAAGCCACAATCTTCACAATGAAGAGTAAAATTATGTTTGCTCCTCAGCCTCTGACTGGCAATCATACAGTATGTACACAAGGCTCAGTGATTGTAATAGGAAATAGGAGCTGGCTCTATTTAAAAGATGAGTCTGGTGATATTAGTATAGTCTAATAGTCTATAGTCCTTAAAAATGCACTATTTCCTCCTGTTTGAGGAATGTTGGATAAAAAATAGAGTGACCAGCTGTTTTGGGTTTTAAATTACTGAACCCTTTTAAAAGATGGGAATAAATATTTTTGACATATTTTCAACGATTTAGCAGGAATGAATGGGTTTGAGTTTGAGTGCCACTGACAGGGAATATAGAAGAAAATCGATACATTATGTGGTGTAAATTGTACATACAAAGTCAGACTAATGCATTGTTGCTTTGAGTCATTTCACAGGATTTGTCGACAATAACGTGGCCAGACTTATCATAAAGGTAGCAGTATTTCTGTAAGATGTAGTGAAATAACAGAACTAAGAAAGGGTTCCTTGGCCAGTCAAAATTATGTTTTCAAGGCCCTATAACAACAAGGATGTACATGTGCTACAAAAAGGCCTTCAAACAGTCCTTAGTAATTAGGTTTGTTCAGTGAGTGGCAGAAAGTTTAAAGTTCCAATTCTATTCTACCTTCAGAGCATATGTTTTAGCAGCCTGTTCTCACTCCTAACTTGTCAAATATAGCAGCTTGTTGAGTGGCCCAACACTTCAAACTAACACACTCTAGGTATGTTTTAGCACCATTTCTGGACGAGCCTGTCTACCATAATATTCTGATGTGCTGAAATCAGGTGATTCTTATTTTTAACTTTCGTTAGTAACGTTAACTTTAAGTCTTTTCCTACACCTAACCAAGCAGTTTTATTGCCTGAGAGAGCCAGTATTTGACGAGTTGCCAGTGAAAACGTAGGACGAAGTCTCTGTGACGTCACCCATAGGTTTCTTAAAAGCCATTGTAAAGCTCAGTGTGGTCGGCTATGGCCTGCACCATCTTGGCAGCCCTGCCTCTGCCAGTTCCCGGCTAATCCAAAAATGGGCAAACAAGTGGATCAAACAAGGCTTAACTCTAAGCCTTGATATAATTTAAACAGGTGAGTTATATATAAGTAACCCCTCATACAGTTGTCATGAACAGGGAAATTAGCTATAGAGACCAAAATCGTTTTTGTACCAGGCTGTAAACATGTTTATTTCTGCTGTAAAGTTGGACATTTTAATATAGGGCCTTATGGAGATTGACTCACTACTGGAGCCAGTCTTAAGTGGCCATAAGAGGAACTGCAGCTTTTGTTAATTCCGTGTTGGCTTAATTGCAGCCGTGGAGGTTGCCACTTGGTGAGAACATGATGGTTTTAGACACTTATTATGTTGTGTGTCTAGAAGAACTGAACACTGCTACATGGAAGCTATAAAACGGAAACACTTACGGCCAGGACACACTCCACTGTCTACAGTGCGTTTGTTACAGAATGCCGTGTATTTTTTCCACGGTTATAATTGACATTAAACCAACAGCATATACACCTTACATTACAGTTTTAGTGCTTATATCTGTAGAAAAATATAAATATATTTGTATACCTCCTTTATCTGTTTCAGATTAAAAGCTCTGTGGCGTTTCAGTGGACAGAATCCATGTTAACAAGGCTTTTATTGGAGCACCCCTGTGGCTCCCCACATGCTCATAGATAGATTTCCTGGGGCTGGGTCTTTGCTGCAGTTTGGTTCTGACCTTGGTCCGTTGCTGTGTGTCATCCCCTCTCTCTCTCCCCCATTTCCTGTCTATCTTCAGCTGTCTCTTTCAAATAAAGGTGTAAAAGGCCCCAAAAAATATTGTATTCAGTGTAATTAGTGTAGAAAGATAGGGCTGGCAGCAGCAGAAACACTCTCTGCCTCTCTTGTAAAATAAATATTAAGTAATTTGAATGTCATTTTAAGTAAAGACTGACAGTACACACACACACACACACACACACACACACACACACACACACACACACACACACACACACACACACACATTCAGTTGTGTTGGAACCAGGTGTTAAGCTGATAAGCCCTTACAACTCCCACAGCAGATTCCGAGCCTAAACTCCCAATCTCTTACACTGCCTCTATTGACTACGGCTCGACCAAAAAAAGAAACGTGTGTGTGTGAAAGAGAGGGAGAGTGTGTGAGAGAGAGTGGGCGAACAAGAGAAAAGGACTCATGAAAGAAGGCGCACAAAAAGCGAGAGAAGAGGGAGAGAGTGACCGAGAGAGGTAGAGAAGCCATTGTATCTCACCAGGTGAGGTCAAAGGTCTGCATCTTTGATGCCGAGCTTGGACTGAGCATCTTAGCACGACGGCGAGCGCTGGAAACGGTCACCATGACAACCCGACACAGCACTACTGCATTGACCTGCAGGCAGAGGACAATAGCATCAACATGGCCTCCAGCAAACACGAGATGTGCCTCTGCAGATCCACTTGGCCTCAAGCTCACATGTAGAGGAGGGAAAGTTTACCCTCCTACTCAGACTGCACCAAATCACATCACAGTAAACAGCACTCAGCTGGACATTCTTTTCCATCTCAAATGGAAACATAGAACATATAGGAGGGAAATGCCAAAGCCCCATCTTCATTTAGAATGATCTTCTGTGCTGTGATAATTCAAGGATTATGTCATTTTTTTAATGTTTCTCTTCAAAGGTGCCCTGTGGAGTTATCTTGTAAATAAACCCAGTCATGTTTGCATTTAGTCCTAGTCTAAAATGCATTGTGTGTATCCCTGAGGCCTAATACATTTTTTAAATGCATTTCATTCATCATATAACATTTGTAAAGCCACATTTTTGAATATTTGGTTAGATAGCTCTTCTACTTATCTGCCTTTGGCAAGTGGGTTAGGGCAGGAAGTCATAGAACACAAAGGGGACTCACTCATCAAAACATTGCTTCATAGTACCACAATTGGTCAAAAACTCTTTAAAGGTCCAGTTGGTAGGATTAAGTGGTGTCTATTGGTTGCAGATCGCAACTACACCCTCAGTGTCTCATTCTCAGGTAACAAAAACACAACAATTATTATTTTCAGATAAAACACTAATGAAAACATAGCGATAAATATTATATTCCATTTCAATAGATCCTCCTAAATGTTACACACTGGACCTTTAAAGTGCACTCCACGATGAAAGTTTCAAATATTGCAGTGACCTTTAACATAGAGTGAAAGCTGTCACTGTATAAACTGAATATTGATTGTTGTTATTATTGGCCCTTCTCATTTACACTTTTTACACTCTTTAAAGACCCCCTCCAGACATATATGATGACATATATAAAAATGGTCTGCTTCAGGCCAGGTGCCAGGATGAAGTGACTGAGGGTATTGTTTTTACCCTAAACTAAAATGTATTGATTTAAACATGCAATAGTTTCAGAAAGGCTAAATAACAATGAAATGAGGCTACTGTTTCAAAATGAAAGAATACATTATTAATCAGAGCACTAACAAAAGAGAGAAGACAGGAGAAGGAACGAATGTAACGTTATGTTAATAACCACAAAAAGCAAGCAGGTATCATACTAAGTGATGTGTTCTGTCTGTCTGTTGATCTCCTCCGTTTCAGTACTATGGACAGCACGGCCCAATTGTAACATGTACAGTACATCAGCCAACCCGAACCCTTTCCACTTTCAGCAGATGAATGTGAAAACATCTTTCTAGAGTCAAACTGTGCACAGACAGCATTCAAACATCACACTGTAGGAACAAGAAGAAACACTGGTTTCTAACTGGAGAGGAACTTTAATTACTAAAAAGAGACATTGTACTATATGAGGTTTATTTTTTCTTCCAACTGTGCATTTTAACAAATACATTTAGGATCATCCTATTATTCTGTCTTGTTTTCATTTTTGACTGGAGGGAAACATATTAGACACACATTACTGTTCCAATGAGGCTATTTGTATATGTCTTAATACATGTCTAAAGGATCTTTAAAGAGTGTAGTCTTTTTAAAGGCAAAGGTTGTTCAAGTGGCCCACATATAAAAGAATGCCAGGAGGTACAGGAGGCAAAACATACACACACACTGAGTGAGATTACATACCGCCAAGACAAATATAACGGGTCCCACAAAGGCCCAAATGGTGTCAGTCTTCACATTGAGCCAGCAGTGATCATCTGCCTTGTACTCGTCCACTGATACTGCCAGTGTTACACCGACTATTAGAACAGGTAGTCCTGAAAAACAGTTTGATTAAGGACAGTGAGGAAGCAGCATGTTTAAAGACATATATTTAGTCTGTTCTGTTCTCTTAGTCTATTTAGTCTGAAGGGCAGCACATCTGCACAGAGGGCTGAAGGGGACACCTGAATATTTGTGCAGCTTATCCACACACTGTTCTCAGCTCATTATGCGACATAACACACACTCACAGATGGATTCGGGAACATGAACAGTAGCAGCTGCAGGATGTTGATTTTTTTTAAAAAACTAGGTTAAGGTTGCAGTGTAGCATAACATAACATCTACCACATGATGTTCTGTGTTGACATAAATTAACATCAATAAATCATCCTTATATTTGAGAAACAAGTCTAAAGCAGCCACCCCTATAGGCTGCAACCTTCATTACATTACCCAGCAAGAGTGAAGAGGCCCTGGGGTGGCATTAGATAAGCGTTTCCCTTTCTATCATTGAGAAAACTGAACTAGATAACATATTTTACTGATATTTCATATTATATTCAATGCATTACAATAACAGCACAGAATAGGGATGCACAATAGGGATAGCTGATAATTACCTGCTTCTTGTGGCCGATACACATAAGATAACTGATCATTTCACACTGATGTATTTAAAAAAGAAGTTTATAACCTGTAGTTTTTACACACTTGATGTTAAGAAAGGCTAAGATGTAGTGAGCTCTGATTTAACTAAACCTATCTGATATCAGTTTTACCAAACAGTTTCACAGAACATAAAGTTTATCAGTTCAAAATAAATAATAATTATTATGGACCGATAATTGATCAGCTGTAATTTAATTATCCTGATAATTCAAAATATAAATGTTCCATTATCAGCTGATAATTTATGTGCCCCAATAATTTTCCCTAGGACAGAACAACTGAGAAAACTGTACAATGAACCCAGATAGTGAACACAATAACTGCAGGAAGTTTGTGTAAGATGATCAGTTTTCCTGAGGAACTCTCAATACAATTCTCTATTGGTAATGTGTTTTTTTTTTTTTTTTTTTTTTTTTTACAATCATTGTGAATAACTTAATAGTCTTCAGTTTCAATTCAGTGTTTTCTTTTCATTGTTCTATTCGCTTTTTGGTTGTTTGAACTTTTCTAATGCAGTATGAGGTTTATCAGAGAGTGAAGGCTCTGTGAATATAGCTTGTGTTCAGCTCTTCAAAGTTTACATCTTAAATAACAATCTAAACTTTAAAAATATAAATGTAATTTAGTTTTCTGAACAAAAGGCTAAGCTATAGGCCAAACCAGTGCACTAGAAGATAGGCCAGGGCCACTGAAATGCTCTCTTTTTTTCCCCCTCTGTCTGTTTGTTTTATCTGTTTATTAAGTGATTTTTTTTATTTTTTATTGTGCCATTAGTTTGTTTCAAAACAAGTGGAGGCCAGAACAAGAACACATAAACAGTCAAAAGAGATTAAATATAAGTAAGTAAGACAAATGAGAAAAACAAAGGAGTCAGGAACAACAGGGATACAACATGAGTTCCAGCTGGTGGTTATGCAGTAAACACAGGGTGAAATGGAACAAAAACAAAAAAACTGTGTATGCAGATAGATGTGTCTGTGTGTGGTGTGTGTGTGTGTGATCATACATTTACATATTATACATATACCTACATCCTACATATATATATATATATATTTCTCTCTGCTTCCTCTCTCTGTTGATTGGAAGATCATTTGTGTGTGAAGTGAGGTTGGTCCTGAGGATGCTGTTTGTTTGTGTGCTAGGGTTACAGAAACAGGTCACACTATAATGCAATAAGTTATTTTAACTAAATAAATGGTTGAAACAGATCAGGTCACACATTCCTGATTAAGTACTTTTTACGAAGTATTTTGTTTTCACTGTACAAATAAAAATTGCAAAATGAAGTCAGTCACTTCAAATCCTGAATCTACTTGGTCAAGAAGGTTACTTACCTTACCTACTTACCTAAGCCAGTATACTTTGTGAATTGTTTGCAATGGGAGCACCAGGAGTTTACATGATGCGAAAAAATGTCAGAGGTGTGATGCAAAAAAAGTTCAACTTTGGGTAAAACACTTTTTACCCAGCCATCCATTCATGGTGGAGGAGGGGCGGGACAAATACCAACTGTCACATCCTATGTCCACATGTACAACAACAACAATGGAAGTGAAATCAATACTACATTTTTCTCTTTCAGCAGGTCAGTCATGCTATTAGGAGCACTAGGACGAGCCAGAGGAACCAGATTTTTTTCACAGTGTGATGGAGAGGTACTGTCAATGACTATGGGCAGCGTGCATACACACATACACACACACACACATATGCCATTCATTTCCCTCAACTCCTTTCTGCTCTCATTAAGTCATTAATAAACCTTGCCACTTGGTAGTTCTATGTTTATTAATCCATATATTAATATGTAACTTACCATCAGTGAGAGTACTGTTGTCTTAGGAGTTTGGTTGGCCAAACAGGGGCGTAATACAGTGGGCGGTTATATGTATGTTTTCCAGTTCATGTGGGCAGAATAATTACGTTTTGTTTGTAATATTAATTCTTGCCATAATAACTTGTTTGGGTCAAAAAGGAATAGGGGAGAAATTATAAATAAATTGTCTTTAAACTATATATTGTGTTTAGACGCTGGGAAGTGGAAACTACGGAAGCGTATTGCATTCACTTGAAAATATATTTTTTGGTTTGTTTTTCTGAGTAATTATTTGTGTTTTTCTGAGTAATTTTTTTTCTGTTTTTCAGAGTAATTTATTTTTATGGTTGGTTTTTTTCGGAGTAATTTTTTTCAGATTTTCTGAATAATTTTTTTTTCTGTTTTTCAGACATTTTTTTTTTCTGAGTTTAGAGAGCATTTGAAATAATAGACACATTCATTCCTTTATTGAGATCTCGATTTAACGGAAACAAACATAACTGGCTTGTTTAGTTTAATCAAGTTTTACTTTGATCTGGGTTTAAGACACTGGGAGATAGTCCTGTCTTTAAGTCATATAGATGGTATTATCATTAGCTTTTTAGCTAGTTTTTTAGCTAGTTTTTTTTTTTTTTTTCAAGTGAATGCAATACGCTTCCGTAGGAAACAGTTAATAATAATAAGAAAAGGTATTAATTGTTATTAATGGATGGAAATATTAAGCCCAGTGGGAGGGACTACGGGTTTAAAAGGGCTGCCTTTACCCTAGTGAAGTCAGTCCTGGCTTGGTTACAGTGGAGGTAATGTGCATTGGAGGATACAACCTGAGTAATCGAAGAAGTACTTGCTGTGATAGTCTATTTATTTATTTATTTTTGAAACGTTATGGCATTTTATCTTATAGCACAGGTTTTTCCTTTTTCAAGTTTTGCACTTTTGGACCACTTTCTGTAAATATTGGGAGACAAGAAATAAATTACACCAACCATATCTTCAGACTACGCTGAATTTTTGAGATGTTGGAAATAGAACCCTGCAACACACAGATTATCTGTCTCATGTACTACTGTCATGATATAGTGAAAGTTTAAGCATTACTTCTGCGGATATTCCGTATCATAACAACCAAAGTGTCTCAGATGACAAAACATGCTCCCAAGTGCTCCCAGCTGGGTCTTTTCAGAAGAGTGTGTGGTGTTTTCAGCTGGTAAAAAATGCTTGGGTGGACACAGTCCCTTGGTAAAGCCAAAACAGTTAATAAGGAGCAAAGGGATTTCTGGGAAATGTGGTCTGACCTTGCAAAAGCAATAGCACTAAGAATATCTGGTGATATGAAATATATGCCACCAGTCATGTCCTTGATAGTTTAGTATGCATGCATGTATATGTATGTATGTATGTATGTATGTATGTATGTATGTATGTACTGTATGTATGTAATAAATGTACATATTCCACATTTTTATCTGTTCATTTATAGATATACTATTCAGTTAGGGATTTGAACTGCAACTTTTTTATTATCAAGACTTTCCAAAAAAGAAATTTTTTTTAAATCAACATGAGCGCACGGAATTGGAAACATTCCACCTCACTTTTTTGTTGTAGCCTCTAAGAGACGCTAAGAAAGTGCTGTTCAACATATTTCCTCTATATTTTCGGTTTCTCTATTGGCTTTGCATCACTGCTGTTTATCCTCAACACTGGGCGTACTGGCTTTGGACCAACACATCACCATTTCAAGTTTGAAATCATAACAAAAATTACATTACAAAAAGATCCTATATAGCAGTTCACATCCGTTTGTGTTATCCTAACTGGCAATATTATAATATTATAACCATTTATTTTAACTGACACCTTGCTTGCAGTACCTTATATTCCAGTACTCATTTGATTTAAATATGACCTACAACTGGATGGACATACAAATGGCTGCAGAATTTAAATCAACACAGTTTCCATGTAAAGCATGAATTATGTACTAATAAAATGTCCAGAAAAATATAAAACACTGAAAATGACTAAATGTTGTAAAAGGTTGCCAAACATGTCAAAAATATAACTGAATACATCAGGTATTATACAAGTAAATAAATAGTGTTTGTGTTTTGCTATTGTAACAATACATGTAGGCTATACAGATTTTATTTTATTTGAAATGTAGTCCATTACTGAAATTAAAATGGCATGGCAAATTTTGTAATGAGTAACATAATCCATTTTCTTATATATACAAAAGAAAACAGACAGAAATATTATTATTTTTCTGTTTAAAATTTTAAAGTGTAAACAAAAATAATTTGGCATATTCAGCATTTACAGTTGGTCAAATCAGACAACATCTAGTGTCGTTTTCGGTTTCATTTCCCAGAAGGAATGAAACAGAAGTACTGTTGAGGCACTGCAGCCTCTTGAAGCTGCCTGCCTGTGCCCTCCCCACGTGTGTGTCCCCACATGAACTCTCCCTATCATCTGTCCGAGAGAAAGAAGCCAGCAGCACGTCCCACTCCAGCAGCTGAACCAAGCAAAAGTCAGCTCCACTCTCAATACACTGTGCAAGTGAATTGAGCAGGGATGACTAAACTCACAGAAAGTGTAGACGCAAACACTGAGATTATTGCTATGTCCTTCAAGCAAACTGAGGCATCAATCATTTATAACTCTTTTTTGTTCTACATTCTACTAAAAAGTCTTCTGCCTTCTGTACTTATTGTAGTTTATTGTTCTTAATCCTGATCTGACAAACAACTACCTTGTGCAGATTATCACTTGTTTTTATGTTTTCATCTAAATTATTCACAAACAGGAAAGAGAGACTAAGTTAGTGTATGATGTTAAAACAACAGAGTAAATAGATGTCATATGTGACATTTTGTTATGTTGCATAAAGACACAGTCAACTCAACCACAAAGCAACAACTCCATCAAATTTAGTTGCACTTTTATTTAACTGACTCTTAACTGATTGAAATAACTATATAACATAAAATAAATTATATGACTGTACTGTGATGAAACCATTGACAGTAAACTATATAGTTATATACAATGGACAGAGCTTCCGTGTCTGTAGTGAAGCCCACAACGAAGTATCTTAAACCTGATTCTGTGTAATGGCCAGCAGGGGGCAGCTATATCGGCTGCAATAAAAGGCCAAAGTCTTCTGACTTGATTTATTAGCTCAGTAAACAGTTTCCCACTGAGTTTATGGTCTCAATCTCAATGCTAAGCTAAAACTGCACAGCCAATCAGAGCAGCTCAAATCTCAGTACGTCACCTCTGCTGGAAGCAACAAACTGTCACCAAAGAGGTAGGTTTTCTGAGCCGCTTAGCTACGACAGGTAGAACACAGAAACTTTACAAACAGCCATCAATGTGTTTTTAGTGACTTTAAAAGCTCCAGCGGACTCTCTTGTGTTTCCAGTGCAGACATGGAGAGTTTACCAATTACTTATATCACTGATACTGATACTACAATTAATATGTATTTACATGATAAATAAATGTATTATTATCATGAAAACACATTTCAACCTGTCATCTGACAGCCAATGATGGCTAGTCAGATGTGCAGAGTGAATTGACCAGCAAAGTCAAAAGGACATCACCAAAAATTATCCAAAAAAGAAAAAACATGGTACAGAGAGAACAAGAAAATGAAAGAAGCAGAGATGAAATGGCCAAATTTAGGGCCAAAGGTATGGCACCAAGTATGGCAAAGCTGAACGTGGCAATGGTGAGGAGCTAGGCAGACTAGCAAATAAAACTTTACCTAGCCCAACCTGCAGCAAACACTGCAGCACTGCCTTACATTGCAACCTGCTGGAGACTAATGGCCAAGAGCTTACTTCAAATTGCCCATGTTGGTATTAGAGCTAAGGGTAGGCAGTGGTGGTGGTGAGTGGATGTGGATGAGGGGCCCAATTTTAGAAAATGTTGCCCCCCGTCCATTTTTATGTTGGAGTGCATGTGAAAGCATGGCTTTTTATATTGGACTAACCAGTAAACCACAACGTTTCCTAATATATCGTATATAATGACACAGATTTTGATATACTAGATTAAAGGAGAAAAAAGCTTTGTTTTGTGAAGTACAATCCAAATTAGCAATTCTTGCTGGTCTTGGTTTTACTGTCACATTAAAGCATTAGAATGCAGCATCTTCAGCTGCTGTAACATACTATATTGAATATTGTTGTTGTTTTAGGATGTATCATGGCAAAATAAACAAAAAGAAATCCATCCAAACCTACAGATCATACACCAAACTCCAACTTGACAAGCCACTAAAGGGAGACTTTTACCCCAGCCGATGATGTAGTAGAGCTTCATCCTGCGGTCCTCGCTGATGTTGACGGATACGACTTTGCTCCAGAGCAGCAGGCCCTCCACCAGCATCCAGGAGAAGGAGGCCATGAAGAAGAGGTGGAGTAGTGCCGTCACCATGTAGCACGCTGCCTGCAGATTAAAATATGTAAAAGACAAAGATGCAGTGTGTGTGTGTGTGTATGTGTGTGTGTAGGTGTAGGTGTGTGTGTGTGTGTGTGTGTGTGTGTTATGGTCCACACTGATCTTATGAAGTGTTTAAAATCATAGGGATAACGAGATAAATTAACCTAATAAACCAGAGGATGAATTTTGAGCAGATTATATCCTGTGAATATGATCAGAGATGAGTGTTCCTGATATTTTTAGGAACTTTTTATACAATTCTCTGTATTTTTTTTTATTTTTAACAATCGTACTTAATAGGCCTATTTTTTCGACAAATATAGTGTTTTCTTATCCCTGACCCTTGGCCATTGTTGGCCAAAAGAGGCTCTGTAAATAAAGTTTATGTTCAGGTCTTTAAAGTTTGGACCTCAAAATCAAGAAGACCTCATAGCCTCATAGAATCATAGGCAACCCCAATGAGGGGTTAGCCCCAGGTTGGGAACCACTGCTTTAGGGCTTTCATAATGATTGCATTTACTGTAACACTTTACCAATATATCATATGTGGAGTCTCACCTCATTAGCAGACGCCCAGTCACTGCACATCAACAGTAGCTCAGCGATGCCCAGAGCAACAATCAGGTTCTTATGGACAGTGGTACGGTCCGATTTCGGGACACTGCACAGGTACACGCACACACACAGCATAAAATATCTGGTGAAGATCTCACAGTAGTTCTCAGGATTTTCAAAAATGTTTCACTATGGTGCTGTTGACATATCTGCAGAGCACAATGTTCTGTTTTTTTTCTTCCATTTATTGATGTGAATCTGGCAGGGTTTTATGAAATGCTTTTCACCCTGTCTGCTTTACAGAGTGCACTCTGTGACGTTTGTGACTCACCCCACAGCAATGAAGAGGATGAAGGTGAAGAGGAGGCCACACAGAGACACTCCACAGCCGATAAACGTCAGCACCTGCAGAGCTTTTTCGTTCTCCGGGCTCCTCTGACACAGACACACACGCACATGCAAGCATAGACGGAGCATGAGTAGGAAATAGCAGCACATACTGTAGATGAAAGCCTACACAAAACACAATGATACTTGGAGAAAGGAATGTTACCTGGGCTTCATAAACCTGAAGCAGCAAGGCAAAATTGGTGGTATGGTTGCAGTAGCACACAGTGTATCCATATTGTTTGGACACTATCTCACAGCCTCTGGTATTCCACCACCCACCAGCCTCTGGCCTAGTAAGACACAAACAGCACATACTTACATATCTACATACACACAGGAATGCCAAAAATGAAAATATTTTCCAATCTAAAGGTTTTGCTGAATTTTTTTTAATGAAACAGGTAAGATAACTGTGGTATTGCGGAGGAATCTGAGACCTCTGAATTCCCTACACTTCGTTCATGGGTACTTACGTGAGGTCAAAATCCCAGAAGGCACACACTGGATCATACACAGTACCAGTGGGATTCTGTAAGAACGTATAATGAATATGATATTTAATTAAGAAAACAATGGAAGAGATGTGAATAAAATCTTAAAGAGATTTTGCCAACCTGTACTCTGTGCTGGAGCTGGAAGCGAACTGCTGTGCTAAGCTGCTGGTCGTCTCCCAGCACTGTGGTGGATATGACAGAAGAGCCCAGGATGGTGCCCAAATACCTGGTTATGTACACAAATCCATACATTACAGTTATGGACATAAAGAGCGAGCTACGGCTTTGGAAGAATATGCAGGAGCAATAATGCTGTTATGAATATAATTAATTCAATTATACATCAAGAAGGAAATAATAAAAAAATATATATACATACATATTTGTTATTTGTAAGTAAATTAGCAAGTCATTTGACACTGACAGTTTATGTTTTACCTTAAGTAGGTAGATGTTGAAGCTAACATGTTAGCAAGACTCACACCTAAGAAGCTATCTTTTTTTTACAGTACAGAGAAAAGGCTAAGAAAACTTAAATTCACCACCCATCACTTGTCAGCTGCAAACAATTAAGGGGGGAAAGTAATTACACCCCCCCAGCCAGAAATCAGTGTTTCTTCTTGTCCCTACAGTGCGATGTTTGAATGGTGTTTGAGAGAAGGATGTTTTCACATTCATCTGCTGAAAGTGGAAAGTTTCTCTGTGCTCATTGAACAGCTGATATTAAGGGGCGGGGCCTACCAGCAGAAAGTTAAAGTTCCACAAAGACACTTTAAACGGCCGAGGATCTCCAACTGTTTTGCTGAACAATGTTAGCTGGAAGCTAGCTAAAACTGAATAAAGTAAAAATACCAATTACCAACTTTGATTTAACAAAAGGTCTGCTGGTATATTTATACCTGCAAGCTACCAATTTACTGTAAGCTATATGTGAAACTGTTAGCTCATTAGCATGACTTATTGGCAGAGCTAAATGGAATGAATTTTGTTAGCAGGGTTTAGAGGGTTACTTTAAAAATGTAATCTGATACAATTACTAATTCACTGTTTAAAAAATGTAGTCAGTAACCTAATCCAAGTATCACAATATTAACTTGATTAACTATTACTTGATTACTCTCAGTTAGTTTTGGATTATCTCAATACCAAATCAGCAAATAAAGACAAAAGAAAAGAAATATCAATAAGATGACATGTACTCTATAAGATAACAGAACAGTGTAATGAAAAAAAAAAAAGATAGATTTGTTGCATCCAAACTGTGTACTGTGCTTTTTACAGAAAAACTTGCTTTTCTTGACACAAATTCAGTCAGTAGTCTGTGGAGTATTTTCACAGCTGAAAGGCACTTGCACTGGATGAAAGAAGCAGCCGTTTCCAGCTCCACTCCACATACTGCTTGCATTACCTCTGGCTGCCATCATTGACGGTTGGAACCATGGTGATGTTCTCCTCAGAACTGAAAAGGGGCCGCAGTGAGCCGTACCATGTATTGACCAATGTGAGCTTATGGAAGCCTGTGAATTCAACACAACAGCAGGATGAGGTCTCTTCAGCTTGCACCAGACAGTCAAATAAAACAGTACGAAGAGAAATGTAGTTCATTTAGGATGGCTTATTGTTCAAGATAAATAGTTGCTGCAAAACCCAACAATGCGCCTCCATCTGCACTTCACTGGAAAACCTTGGGAATGGAAGTGAATACATGCCACACATTCACAAGGCTGTCATTAGTGCATTGCAAGAGTTAATAAAATGCATCTTGGCTCTTTGCAAACACTCAGCGTTGTGACAGATAGGTCTGAATAAGTGAGTGCTGTAAATGCAAGTGGAGGGCGGTGGTTGCTTCTTGCAGCATTTTCCTACCGTTGTTATGGAGATCCTGTATCTTCTGATGTGGGACTGATATACAGTCCACGTTGGTGTGTTTGTCTGTCTCAGGCCCACAGAAGCTCGATCCCCTGGATCCTTCCTGCAGCCTCTGCTGCTGCACCTCCACCTCTGATAAAGACCAGACGAAAAAGAGCAGATTCAGTTACTGTTCAATTTCTCTGCATGAAGAATCTTAAGAAAGGGTTAGTTTGTATTACCCTTAGCAATGAAAATATGTACCAAAAAATGTATTAATTAAAATGTGATGGAAGTGTCTTACTTTACAATATATGTTTTCATAAATTATATGGATGTAAAAACATAAGTTTCTGTTTCTCAGTCCTGTTTGCCTCCTTGTTCTGTGCTCCTCTCCAGACATTTTCAATAAACTTTAATGGTTTGAATTTCAATCAAGATTGATTAATCTTTGCTGGAACAGTGTTACCATGGCAACTTTCGCATATTTCTGCTGGATTGTAAGAAGGCAGTACTTCATTTCATGTCAGGAATCTACTTGAGATTTTTCTTGCTACATCCTCAAGTAGCTACAATGCCGAGGTAAGGAAAATTGGATACATTAAAAGAAAAGTTGAAGTTTCAGAAGTTCCATGAACAAATGTTCACAATGGAAGTGGCAATATTGGATTTCATTATTTTTAAAGTTTTTCTCAAATTTGGCGCTCCTCATTGTAATTGCTACAGTACAGTTCTTGAACCCAATGACATTGGACAATTAGAAAAGCTGGAAACATGTCAACAATTTAGCCGGATTAGTGTCCAGTCTATGTGGGCATATTTCATAAGAAGATTTCAGCATTTGACCCTTCCTAAATTGCAGATGGTTTAAATTAAAGCAACATATCTTAAGTTAGCTAATTTTAGGAAACACTAACTAACAAGGGTCTTAATGTTCATAATACTTTTATGAAAATATTTTATTCCTGTTTTATTGAATTAGTCTATTTTCTCGCTAGCTGGTTACTAACCCTCATAAACAGGAAAAGACTACAGGGTAAAGGTGCAGTAAAATTGCAGGCATGACCCTAAATGGCATTCCATAGCGACCTGTACAAGGTGAGGTCTTTGAGGAAGCCCCATTGTATCCTGGTTGATCCTAGCCACCCACTGAGATGCAGGACCTACAGACTGAAATACTCAGTACAAAGGGGAAAGAGAGAGGAGATGACATGCAGCAAAGGGCCACAGGTCAGGGTTTAAGCCACAGCCTCTGGACTCTGCCTATGTACATGGAGTGCAAGCTCTACCAGGTGAGCTACTAGAGCACCCAATGGCTTTTATCTTTTAACCATCTTCAAAATGCAGTTGTCTTTTTAACATAGATGAGCCTAGCAGATATCATATTTGAGTAAGAGGAAAGGAGGAAGTTGCACAACTGGAGCATAGAGCAAAAAGGGGCGCAACTTAGGAAGACTGGAGAGTACAGTCTTGGCCAGAGATACAAAAACAAAACCTGACTGTAATAAACCACTTTTGCCAGTAACCAGTTTGTAGGATTTAGTTGCATTGTATCTAGTTATAGGCTGCAACCAACTGAAAACAGCTCAGCCTTCCAAATGTGTAGGAAGAAGTGTGTTGAGGGCTTTCAAATAAAATAATTTACCGTTTGGTGGCCATACTGGAGGTCTTTAGAATGTAAGTTTTTGAAAGATCATCTTATTGAGCTCAGCAGAGATATTATGGATAATTATTGTCCATGACATGTCAGTGAGCTGATGTCAACCATGAAACATTTGATTTAATTTGGTGTTAAGGTAATGTGCAATTGTCGTGTCATGGATCGTCATATGATTACAAAATGAAGCTGTAATATATTGATAAATAGCAGAACTTGAAGCATATATAAAATCTATGGATTATCATTTTTAAAAACTGCTATTTGATTAAGCCAAAAACTCCTTTGTAGGTGGTTTTAGTATGATTGTTTGCCATTCTGTAACTGTGTGATTATTCTGTTACAATAGGTGAATGGATTGTATCTTCTAAAGGGTCAAGTATAACATCATTTGGCTTATTTCCATTGCAGTCAGTTCTCTAAAGGGCCTACCTATGTGTCATCCCTTTGTATCAAAATTCCTTTGCTGTATTTGTTTAATACATTTTAATATCAGTGTCTGTGTGTTTGTGTGTGTGTGTGTGTGTGTGTGTGTGTGTGTGTGTGACTCACTGATGTTGGGGCTGTGAATGGTCAGGTGATCAGTCTCTGCCATCAAGCGAGAGCTCAGGCTGGTCACCATCTGGTCAATACTCTTGACCACATCCATGGGGCCGTTTACCACCTGAAACACAGGAAGCATTGGCATCTTAGCAGCAGCAGCTGTCGTCAAAGCTAGAGAGGTACATTTCAAAATGACTATTCAAATGCCACACAATAAGAAAAGGCTTTCAGCGCCGTTAACTGTTTGCCAGTCTCCGCACAGTTTGGCTGAAGAGGGCACGCACAGTTCAATAGACTGGCCTATAATGCAGGGTACAATCGTGGATCTTGCCATTGTCTGTTTTGAAATCCCTCGTTCTGAATTCAATATGCCCATCTAAGAGCTGAGCCTTGGAGACAGAGCCGGGAGCAGAGCGAGGGATGAGTACAGCTACAGTTTTTCAGAGTGCTGTTCATCCATTGAGTCTGGGCTGAGGTGGCCTTGGAGTGCTGAGAGGCCTGGGGGGAAGGGAGGCAAGCGCTGAGAGAAACAACACTTGTCGTGAGGCAATCTCATCAAGCTGCACACATCAATAGTAAAGAAGCAGAAGTGACAAAAAATATTTGGTAATAGAGTTTGGAGGGAACGCAATGCACTGACTGAACTAGGTTAGAGCATTGTTTCCTCTTGGAAATCTGACTTATGGAGGCTATATAGCATCTGTTCTACTGTTCCTGTGCTAACTTCATCATTCCGCTGCTGATGATGAGCTTGTACAATAGTGTATCTATAGAAGCATACTGCCCTCTAGTGCTCTATCTATCTATCTATCTATCTATCTATCTATCTATCTATCTATCTATCTATCTATCTATCTATCTATCTATCTATCTATCTATCTATCTATCTATCTATCTACATCTGGCACCTATTGTAAGATTTATTTATTTTGCAGATTACTTAACTGTTATTTCCAGGGCGTCAAATACACTTTAACACTTTGACATCCTGGAAATGAGACTCAACAATTAACTATCTTAAAGCTTCCGACCCAAAGTGTCTTTATATCTTTCTCAGCTATGTTTGATTGTTTTGTTTTTAAGTTATTGTTATAAAAGTTACCTACTGTAGCTTTAATGTAGTGATCAAGGCTGCAAATTACATTCTGCCATATGCCCGTAGAGTAGCCTATTTAATGAAATTCCCATATTTCTCCCGGATGAATATAAAAAATTGATTTGCTTTTTTAAGTCAATGATATTTGATATCAGATGTAAATACAACACTCAAACTGCATAGGTTTGCAAACTCTATATAAAGTGAGGAGCCATGCATTGCTCAGGGCTGAAAGAAAGTGAGAATATGCCGTGCTACTGTATATGTGCTACCTCTTTGATGGCCTGCCACTTGAGGGCGTTGTCTTCACTGATGACACTGTCGGCCACGCTGATGAAGTGCTGGCTGAGCTCCTGGATGTTGTCCTGGCTGTGGTTGGTGGTGTCAGCGAGCGGCTGCGCGGGGAAGTCAGCGGCCAGAGACAGCAGCTGGATAAGGGACACCATGTCTGTTGGCTGCAGTCCCTCCTGCTGGGTGTCCTCCAGGGCTTGGACAGAGATGCCCAGCAGGGCAGATGCCTGGGCCAGGCTGCTCAGCCCTGATGGCTGCTGCCCCAGCACTGCCTGCAGAATGTAAATGTGGAAAAATGTAATGTTCCACCCAAAACACACCTTACAACCGTCTCTGGTTGAACTGAAGACAAATATTAATTCGATGTTAGGTGTGGTTAACAGGCTAAGAAGAAATTTGACCGTAAACAGACAAACAAACAACAAAAAACAAACTGTTTGGAAAACAGAAAGGGAAAGCTGATGTATGGGTTATCTACCTGGGTTTTGTTGGAAAGCTTCATCAGATGGTTCATAAAGGCAGTGGGCTGAGAGGTCTGAGAATCACTCATCTGCTTCATCTTCAGGTATCGCTCTGTGCCAAAAACAATCACATCAGTATGGATGATGTAATGGCAGGATGCTCTGCTGCACAAAGAACTTATTCTTTAGCTTAGAGTTCAACCCTGAGCCTGCTGAAGCATCCTAGAGTAAAACACTGCCAGCAGAGACTGACCTCTGGGTCAGGGAGAATTGCCTCACATAAGGCTCAGATATTATAATTTACTTACAGCAGGCAAATCTTTTATACATTTGTACTATTCATTTTATCAGTCAGTAACCACTGAAGGTCACAGCTCAACACTATTTAGCGCCAAAATGAAATGCTTCATATCATGTATAACAGCTCATGAAGCATTTTCAGATGGCCACTGTTTACCATATACCACTACATAAACAAATCTCATATCTATAGCCTATTGTGTTTCAGCAAGATTATACAGTAAACAAAACAGCATGTCAGTGAATTTGCCATATTTCTTCTTTTAAAGGCAGGGGTAAAAACAGGGCTGTAGTTATTGTATAATGATGACAAAAGCTAGTTATTGAAAAATAGAAATGCTATGTAAACCTCTGTATATGTACAATCTCTTATTATTTGTGTCTTCACTACAAAGAGCACTGTGCTTCACTGTCTTATCTTTGACTGATGTTCAATTCTCGCAACTTTTTATTAGAATATTGACTTTAAATATAAATGTAGTTATAATTTGGAGTCCATTTTTCAGCTCTGAATAGAGTCTGTGCATATTCCTTTCAGGCGCATACAACCTCAACAACTTTGACCAATAAAGGTATGTTAGCCTGAGCGTAGCCCAGTGGTTCTCAAACTGTGGGGCGGGGCATAGAGCGATAGCCTATGCTATTATGCTGACCTTTATTTCACTGAAATTCAACTTGGATAATAAAGTTTCTCACCCGATCATTGGTAATGATTGATAAAAATGTTGGTGTGGTGGGTTGTGAACTCTTTCAGCTTCTGAAGGGAACCACTGATGCAGCCTAAGAGGTGAAACCCAGGGTAAAACAAAGTCTGCAGCGCACTCAGTGCACCACTACTGCTGGTTAAGTTAATTGCTTTGAGAGCACAGTCAGCTCCTCAGTAATAATAATTCTTAAGTTTATTAACTATTTCTGTGGGGGCATTTGGGGTATTTAGACTCATGACCTCAGGATTTATAAAATCCTGGCTACGGCTCTGGATAAAAATCTATGAATTTATCTTGATTCTGATAAAAATCAGCTTTAATGTTCTCACTGCATTGTTAGACTTTGATTTTAAAGTGAATGTTAGAGATCATATATATACACTACAGCTTTTGTCTATCGCTTTATGCAGACTACACCATAATGTATTGCTTTAGAGTCACTGTATCCAGTAATCATTACCACTTGCATTCTATCATTAATATTAACATTTGGAGAGTGTGAGGCTCACCTCTGCTGCTCCTGCAGATGAACGGCAGTGGATCAGAACAGTCCGTCAGGCCGAACAATGGCTGCTCATCTGACCAGCTCTGCAGCGTCCTGCAGCCCTGCAGCTCCATCTGCTGGTGCACTGCTACTCACACATTTATAAGATCACACATTCATACACACAGTGACACACAACACAACAAGAGTGAGCTTGAGTATGTCTAAATGTCTTCAGTGATGAAAATTTGGAGCAACGGGTGAGATTTAGCTCAAAGGAAAGATGGCATTTAAGGGTCACTGAGGGTCAACAGCAAATTAAAGAATCATGAATTTATTATAAATACAAATATGTTAGGATACTTATTAAAGCTTGAATTGTTATTGTAAAAAAAACTGACTGCATGGATATTGTGAGGGAAAAAGAAAGTCAGACAGTGAGGGAGTTTCTGTTCACCATTGTATGGAGCTTTGTTCTTCCCCAAGCTGCCCCCGCACTGCTGCCTGGAGCTGTAGGAATGCCCACCATCCATCCATCCCTCCCTTCCTGCCTCTCTGTCTCACTTCCACTCCCCTTCATTCTGTCTGCTCAGTCATCCTAATGTATTTTTAGAGGTGTCTCTGTGTCAGACTGTTCAGTTTTACACTGTCTGGTTCTGTCCTCTTTAGGGAGGAATTATTCCTGAATGACACAGGAAACTTAGAGCAACTACTAGATAAGTAATGCTTCCCCTACTGATCTGGAATGATAAAAGGTATAACTACAGGGTAAGGAAATAAGAAATAGATGGAAGCTGCCCCACACAGAATATTATGACTGAAAATCAATGCTATATGGACAAAACAAGAATAATACAATATGCAAATACATTAACATCGAGAACAAATAGTCAAGAGAAAGGTAAAAAATGTACTACAAGAGCAGGTAGTCAACTTTGTTTATGATCCTTTTTGCAAAATGGTGATTTATGCTAAAGTTAGCGCTGGGCAATATACTGAATGAATTGGTATGCCAGTTTTAATTTCCAATATCATATGAATTTTTCATAGACCACCATGCAGGTGCATAGCTGAAACAACTGCTTTTGTTTCTTCCTTGTACAAGAGAATTTGAGAAATATGTATTTATTATTTTTTTTATACATATAGTATTTTAAAGGAAGCAATGTTAAAGTTAACTGTGTACCCTTCTTACCAATGGTTATAACTTATGGGGGCCAAGAACACTCTATAGTAATCAAAGCCTTCAGTATTATGACATTAAAATAATTTGATATTCTATGTAGCCTTCTAACAGTAACTCACAGGTAACTCTAGTGAATCTGGTGAGAAACAATATAATTCCATCAGCCAAAGGATGTCAAGAGGATCTTACTCAGCCTGTGTAAACAGGTGTATAATGTCTTCTGTGGCACTTGAGGAACTTAGTTTAGTCTGAGAAAATAACTTTGATGATGCCTCTTGAGAGACGCTATCAGTTGCATTATGGGCAATATAGGATATGGACTAAAAATCAGGAGACATCTGCTGCTCTGACTTAGACTCCTCTGAGTCCTCCAAATTTATGGAAGTGACATACTAAAACGTTGAAACACTTTAATTCAAGTCTTGAATGCTGTTCATGCTGTGTCTTTTTGTGTCTTTTTCTTTGCATCATGCCTATTCTAATCCAACATATCAAGATAGTAATTTTAATTACTCAAGCAGTCAGCAAGCAGACAATCAGATGGGTTTATCCAGATTATCTTGGAGGTGAAACTGACATGTCTGTAAATGGTAAATGGACCTGTACTTGTATAGCACCTTTCTAGTCTTCCAACCACTCAAAGCGCTTTCACACTGCATGCCACATTCACCCTTTCACACACATTCACTCAGTGATGGTAAAGTCCATCGAACAGAAACTAACATTCATACACATTCACACACCGATGCACGATCGGGAGCAATTTGGGGTTCAGTATCTTGCTCAAGGATACTTCGACATGTGGCACTAGGAGCCGGGGATCAAACCCACAACCTTCCGATTAAGGAACGACCCGCTCTGCCTCTGAGCCACAGCCGCCCCAATTAAGTAATCCTTCATTGAACAGGAACACTGTGTGCATGCACAACTATGGTAAGAAGATGAGGTAGAAGTATATACAGTATATATAGTCAATTTGGGCTATATGATAGTTTGGGTAACATACCTTTCTCCTTTTTTGAAATCATTTTCATTGATCTGGGTTTTTATTTCATTTCTCCTTTTTTCCTGTCCCTTTGACCCGGAGGAGCAATTAAGTGAGTACAATGATATTATTACAGAAAGAAAGGGCAGTCAAAACTACAAACATAACCCAAATGGAATAAATCAGGATACGCTAGGATACCTTATGAAAAAGGACTAAAAAAACCCAAAGCATGTGGTGTGAACTCACCACAACTGACTAGAGTTAGTAGTAAAATAAACGTAGTGCCAGCCAGAAAAAGTTGAACTGCCTCAACTTTCCGCACAATGCAATGTCATTTGGCAAGACACTGTAAGCCAATCAAATATATGCAACTCAAAGTTGTGACGTCAGTTCTGTTAAAGGAAGCCCCCTCGTTTTTTTGAATGAGGTTACTGCAATGACCCAGCCTGTGTTCCAGTGCAATGCTTCAGCTGAGTGAAAAGTTGAACCTGGTTCACACATCTGGCAAGACCATGGCAAGACAGCCAATCAAACGTGCAAAAGATAAAAAGATTGTCATAGGGATAACTTTCTAGAGTTGTCAAATCCAGTTTCACAGTTTTATAAATTAATTCACAGAGTTTTGCCGTGCGATAAGCCTTTAAATTCATGGATCCATTACTCAAACTGGATTCAAACTGTCATTTTGTGCCTCTCTCCTACTGAGAAATGTATTTTGTCCTCCAGATTGAGGCAGGAAGATTGAATATAACAGAGACATTTGATGGACACTTTGGAAAAGGTCAGCCTTGTCAACCATTATGAGATACTGACTTGACAGAAATTGTCCCTGAAATGGGAGCATATACAAAATGTGATCTTACCTAGGCAAAACATAAGGACCTGCACCTCTTGGACCACTGGATGACTGCTTAGGTGATCAAGATTCCAACTGTAAAGCATTTCCTGGGCCATGGGTGAACATGCGTTGAAGGCAAGAACATGGCTTTTTTCCAGAGACATATTCCAAACATTCAGGTCAGTGATATTTCCAAAAAAGGGCTCTGTGAAATTCCCTCCAAATGAATCTTGGTCCTGACCCAGAATGAATATCCCATCTCCGTAAATATCCCTGGAAGTGTCTGTGCCTGAGCCCATGTCCTTCCTGTCCCCATCCACATAGATAGCCCAGTGGCCGCTGCTCCGGTGCCACGTCACACAGATGTGATGCCAAGCTCCGTCGTTGGGGAAGGATGCCTTGTACGGCAGGTGCTTCCCATGGATGATGAGTGCCAGGAGGATGCGTCCCAGCATGTCCACTTGGCCTCGTAGTTGGAACTCATTGGTAAAGACAGGCGCAGCGTAGGAGAAGATGGTGGACACCTCATTCCAAACTGGGTTCCATTGAACACGAACACACACACTGACGGACGACAGGGCAGGAAAGGGCATGTTGACACGAGCAAAGCCCTCACGGGATTCCTTTGGGAAGCTTAGAGCTGAGAACTGTAAATCTAAACAAGAGCAGAAGAAGAAGTCATCATGTTTTATTGCCTTTCTTACTTTATTAGCTCGTAGAAGCACTGATTGCACTCACATTGTTTGGAGAGGGCCACAGGCTTGGAGGCTGCTTTGCTGGGATTCCTGACCCAAATAGGTGAGAGAGGTCCGGTCTGGCGAAGCAGCTCCAAGGCTCCTTCCCGGTCCTCTGATTGGTCCAGGGTGGCAAGGGAGCTGAACTGGCCTCTGCAGATGCTCTCAGCCCTGGAGTGGGCTAGTGAGTCATTGACCAGCTGGAAGGCCCAATGAGAAGTTAGATGGACCAGACTGGATTGTCCTGAGGAGTCAGACACAGAAAACAATCAAAAAAAAAGCATGTATAAAAAATAATAAGGCATTCATCAAAAACTTATTTAATGATTTTTTTGATGGATCAAGTGGACGAACAGAAGACAGTACTGTGAATTAAAACTGCTGGCCACTATATGGCCACTAAAAGTGATTAACAGTCTCACCACGTGAATCCCCCACTCTGTCTGGCCCAGCATGTGTTGGCTCACTCTCACATACCACCTACAGGAGAAAGAGTTTATTTTATTATTTTAACAGTTGCTGTGGAGCTGGTCCCTGCACATGTAATACTCTATAAGCAGCATCCTTGGTATTAAAATGAACCAAAGTTACAGAGACAATCAACAATCCAACAACAAAAGTAAGTAGTAAGTAAGTAAGTGAGTTAAAGAATGAATCAAATGGCTCGTTATATAGTATAGAATAAGAATGTTATTACCAGAAAGAAGAAGAGTATGAATCCAGTATGCAGGGCTCCAGTCATCTCTAAGCCAGTGTAGTCTCCAACTGAAATATCCTGAGCTTACCTAGAAAATATTTCTAATGGATGCAGATGTACTTCCCTTTAGAAAAAGGTCTGTATCTCTGTCGAGTCACAAAGTAAATACAAGATCTTATTGATTATGGGTGTTTAAGCCAATAATATTTCAAGTGCAGCTTAAAGTATTGCATGGCAAGGCAAGCCAGAAGCATTTTAGTGTGTCACTCTTCAACTGGTAGTTTAAAAGAAATCTTTAGTGTATTCATTGTTGCACTCTCAGTTGTAGAATCCCCATTTTTCTCCAAAGCAGCAAAAAGTATCTCTGAGTAATCTTGGAACAAGCTCCATGTGTGCTACGATCAAGCCCAAATCTGGTCCAGACTCCTCATCCACTGCCTCGGCTTCAATATCCAGCATTTCCAGCCGTTTCTGGTCTTCTGACTGGGAGAGAGCCAGCGATCCCAGTGCGTCTGTCCAAGAGTCCCAGCCTGTCTACTGCCTCGCTTCAGGCGCCCCCCCCTATCACCACTACCAGCCCACCCTCCTTCTTTAGTACCCTGAAGCCATCTGCCTTTGTCATGTAAATGCAGTCATTTTTTAAAAGAACCCTACTTACGCAAGCACTGTCAAGCATTTGGCACAGAGAGTTCATCAAGAGCAGCAGGGGCAGCAGACATTTTTACCACATAGCCCTTCTGTATGCCTTCTATACGACTCTCTAAAGTTAACTGGAGCATCTGTTTTATTGCTGCACTTCGTAGTCAATAAAAGATTAGTACTACTCATGCAATCATTGTACAGTAAACCGTAAAGTTTGCCTGTTTGTATGGTTTTCATCTGGTGGTTTTGTGCAACATGCTTGAAACGCTTTTGTATGCCCTTTGACATCATGCATCTGTATGCATAATGCACCTGCCGAATGCTTTTCACAGGCATCTGCAGATTAACAGATTGATGACAAAGTAATTGTATAGGCCACAGATGTGAACACTGTCAAATACCAAACAACATGACAATGGTAAATAAACTGTGGACACCAGTGACTCAAGCAAATCACTCATTTATGATTTCCCATCACTGACATACATACAGCATCTTAAATTCAGAAAAAAGTATGACTTATTTGTCGACTTGTTGTAATGAGATGGTTTGATTTGCTAGTACAACTCCAGTTTCTACTTTATTGTAGCAAATTAATTACATTTTGGTACGCACATGTATTATACAGCAATACCCCAAACAGAACAGGAAATCAGCCATTTTGAATTTGAGTCATTTTTTGGGAATTTAAACGCAATGTACTTCTAGAGAACTCCTCCTACTCCTTCTAGAGAATTGGATGGATCAACTTTCGAAGTTCTTTACTAAATTTTCTCCAATCTGCCCCAAACTTCACTACTGATAAGAGTCCTAGCCTGAACACATGTACATGCCAATATGTTGTCATAGTGCCCCCTATTGGCAATGGGAAGTAAACCTCCTGTGACAATTAATGTCACATTTACATGACATTTTAATGTTTTGAGCTACACCTGATATAGTGAACAAAACGTCTCATTAGTGGGCAATCACTAGCGAGTGGACACAGGAAGTGACATCTCACTCCTTCATGCAGTGCCTGAACTGTGTAAATTCAGAGCAATTAGAGTCTCCATGTTTACAATGACCATTTGGATAAATTGTTACTGTTCAATTAACAGTGCACCTTCGGTTACTCATCAAAATAAGTTAGGCTAAACTGTTAGCTTGTTTATAACCTGTCTGAGATTCCTTCTGACTTATTTTTAATTCAATTCAATTCAATTTTATTTGTATAGCGCCAATTCATACAGAAGTTATCTCAGGACACTTTTCAAATGGAGCAGGTCTAGACCGAAACTCTTTATAACATTATTTACAGAGACCCAACAGTACCACCATGAGCAAGCACTTGGCGACGGGGGCAAGGAAAAACTGCCTGTTAAGAGGCAGAAACCTAGGACAGATCCTTCGGCTCTAGGTGGGGGGGTCATCTGTCTCGAACATTTGGGGTGAGAGAGAGAGAGACAGAGAGAGACAGACAGACAGTTGCACAGCAACAACAGTAGCAACAACTCTGCCAATAGTAGTGAATGACGATGATGAACATGAAGAAGATGATGACGACGACGACAACAGCAACGATGGGGGACAATGAGCAGTGACAATAGTAATAATAGTATCTGTAGTAATAATAATAGTAATAATAATAATAATAACAATAATATCAGTGATATTAGCAATGGCAGTCAAGCAGGACCATGGCAGGAGGCTCCACCAGGATCCATGAGAACCTGCGAGATGAGAAAGCACAAGAACTCCGGGGAAGAAGTGAAGTTAGTAACATGCATTAATGGGACATGAATGAGTGCAGAAAGAGAGGGAGAGGAAGAGAGGAGCTCAGTGCACCATGGGAAATCCCCCGATAGTCTAGGCCTATAGCAGCATAACTAAGGGATGGTTCAGGACTCACCTGATCCAGCCCTAACTATAAGCTTTATCAAAGAGGAACGTCTTAAGCCTACTCTTGAATGTGGAGAGGGTGTCTGCCTCCCAAACCACAACTGGAAGCTGGTTCCACAGGAGAGGAGCTTGGTAACTGAAGGCTCTGGCTCCTGTTCTACTTTTAGAGACTATAGGAACCACAAGTAGCCCTGCATTCAGAGAATGCAGTGTTCTAGTGGGGTAATAGGGTATTATGAGCTCTTTAAGATATGAAAGGACCTGACCATGAAGGGCTTTGTAGGTGAGGAGGAGGATTTTAAATGCTATTCTAAATTTTCCAGGGAGCCAGTGCAGAGAAGCTAGTACAGGAGAGATGCGATCTCTTTTCCTAGTTCCTGTCAGTACTCGTGCTGCAGCGTTTTGGATTAATTGGAGCATCTTAATGGACTTATTGGGGCCGCCTGATAATAAAGAACTGCAGTTATCCAGCCTAGAAGTAACAAATGCATGGATTAGTTTTTCTGCATCTGTCTGTGTCAGGATGTGTCTAATTTTTGTAATATTATGTAAATGAAAGAAGGCAGTCCTGGAGATTTGCTTTATGTGGGAATTAAATGACATGTCCTGATCAAAGATAACTCCAAGATTCCTGACAGTGGTGCTAGAGGCCCAGGTAATGCCATCTAGAGTAGCTCTATCTTTAGACAGGGAGTCTCTAAGGTTTTTGGGGCCAAGTACAAGAATTCTGTTTTTTTCTGAGTTTAACATCAGAAAATGTATGTTGAAATGGTAGTGGTCAGTTTATGGGAGTGTCCCGATGTGCTAAACCCTATTGCTAGTCTAAATCCACCTGGGCCTAACCTTACTAATATCACATTTCAAAATGGCGAAACTGTGTTAGTTGATAATCATCTTAATGCTCGTACATATAAAGGTATACCAACTATTGGACATTTTTATTGGCTTTGTGATAATAAGGCTTTTCTATTCTTATTAATATAATTTTCTTCTGAGTTTAACATCAGAAAATTGCAGCTCATCCAGGATTTTATGTCCTTAAGACATGTTTGTAATTTAGATAATTGATTAATTTTATCGGGCTTGATCGATAGATATAACTGCGTATCATCTGCATAGCAATGAAAGTTAATGGAGTGATTCCTAATAATGTTGCCTAAAGGGAGCATATATAAAGTAAATAGTATTGGTCCAAGTACAGAACCTTGTGGAACTCCATGACTTACTGTAGTATTTATTGAAGATTCATCGTTAACATGTACAAACTGCGAACGATCTGATAAGTATGACTTAAACCAGCTTAGTGCGGTTCCTTTAATGCCAATTTGATGCTCAAGTCTCTGTAAAAGAATATTATGGTCAATGGTGTCAAATGCAGCACTAAGATCTAATAATACAAGTACAGAGACAAGTCCATTGTCTGAAGCAATCAAAAGGTCATTATTAACTTTAACTAGAGCTGTCTTTGTGCTGTGATGAACTCTAAATCTTGACTGAAAATCCTCAAATAAACTATTGTTATGTAGAAAGTCACACGACTGTTTGGCGACTACTTTCTCCAGAATCTTAAAGAGGAATGGGAGGTTAGAAATCGGTCTATAGTTGGCTAAAACCCCTGGGTCAAGAGTGGGCTTTTTAAGAAGGGGTTTAATTACAGCTACTTTAAAGGACTGTGGCACATATCCTGATAATAAAGAAAGATTAATCATATCCAGTAAAGAAGTGCCAATTAAGGGTACAACTTCTTTAAGCAGCCTAGTTGGGATCGGGTCTAATAGACAGGTTGATGACTTCGATGAAGAAATTATTAAAGTTAACTGATGAAGATTGATAGCAGAAAAACAGTCTAAATATATATCTGATTTTACATTAGTTAAAGTTCCTGAATTTGGAGAGCCAGTGATACCTGTTGAGGGCATTTGGTGACTAATTTTCTCTCTAATAGTAATAATTTTCTTATAAAAGAAGCTCATGAAGTCATTGCTACTTAAGTTTATGGGGATATGTGGCTCAATAGAGCTGTGACTCTCTGTCAGCCTGGCTACAGTGCTGAAGAGGAACCTAGGGTTGTTCTTATTTTCTTCTATTAGTGCTGAGTAATAGGCTCCTCTGGCATTATGGAGGGCCTTTCTATAAATTTTAAGATTATCTTGCCAAATTCAGCGATAATCCAACTATTTTGGAAGAGCGCCATTTCCTTTCCGTTTTCCTTGTTTTTTGCTTCAATTGGCAGGTTTGGTGGTTGTACCACAGTGCTAATCTCCTAGGTTTTAATATTTTCCTTTTTATAGGAGCGATAGAATCTAATGTTAATCCTAGTGAGCCTGCAGCACTATTAACAAGATTATCAATTTCGGAGGGACTAAAGTTGTTATAGGACTCTGTTATATACAGACATGGCATTGAATTAAACACTGATGGAATCTCCTCCTTAACTTTAGCCACAGCACTGTCAGATAGACATCTGCTGTAGGAAGTTTTGCCTAATGGCTTATAATCTAATAATAGAAATTCAAAAGTTATTAAATAATGGTCAGATAGAAAAGGATTATGTGGGAAGACTATTAAATGTTCAATATCAATGCCATATGATAGAACAAGGTCAAGAGTGTGATTAAAACAATGACTTGGTTTAATTACACTCTGACAGAAGCCAATTGAGTCTATTAAGGATATAAATGCATTACTAAGGCTGTAATTTTCAACATCCACATGAATATTAAAATCACCTACAATAATTACGTTATCTGATTTAAGGACTAAACTTGATAAAAACTCAGAGAATTCAGTTGACACTATACAAATAAAATTGAATTGAAAATTGAATTGAATATAAAATCAGAGTACGGTCCAGGAGCGCGGTACACTATAACAAATAGAACTGGCTGCAGTGTTTTCCAGTTTGGGTGAGAAAGACAAAGAACAAGGCTTTCAAATGAATTATAATTTAGTTTAGGTTTAGGGTCCATTAAAACGCTCAAATCACATATGGCTGCTACTCCACCTCCTCGGCCTGTGCCTCG